TAATGGAGAAACAGTTCTCCACAGTGAGGGACCCCCAGAGAGGTTTGCAGAGTTACATGGAGAAGAGAAGAGGAAGGAGGGATATAGAGGTGACCAGGAGGAGAAGAGGGGGAGTCAAAAGGGGAGAGACCAATCTAGCCAGTAATCACACCCCTAAGTGAAAATGGATTCTGATGAGATTAGATTCTTAAAGGTACAGAATTGATAACAAATACCAAAAAGCAAAGATTAAAAATCTAGAGTAGAGGTTAGACTCTCAAAAAAAAAAAAAATTAAAAATACAAAACAAAATCAATCACAAAAAGTATAAAATATATATATATGAAACTTGCTTTAAAAATAGGGTGTTTTTCTCCCACAAGGTAATAGTATGTTATAAAAATGAAAATGCAAGGAGTAATAAAGAACTTGTATTTTTTAAAAAATTCAAAATTGATAATAATAAAAATATATCTAGGAATTTCTCTGGAGGTGTTGTGGGCATGTAGGGTCAGTTCAGTTTCAGATAGTTCCTTGTTCCAGCTTATACTTCTTCTCAAGGTCATGGGCCCCTTCCAGTGCTTGGTCAATTCTAACTACAGGGTTTTAATCTGTTGCACCTGTCACTTCCAGAGCAGTTCCCTCTTTTTTGTTTATTTGGCTTCCTCTGTTTGCAAGTCTCTTTGGGGTCTAATTTCTACCCTGACACAACAGGGCGAAGGTGGTCACTTATTTAGGCTCACTTGTTCAGAGGTGTTGTGGGGAGTGAGGGACACTGCAAACAAATATCGCTGGCGTGTGCGGGGATTGCTTGCAGTGGATGAACCACACTGGCTTTGCCCCAGCGCAAGGCGGCGTGTGCTCCCCTGGTCTCCACTGCTCAGGCTCCAGGGTGCCCTGCGGGGGCACTGTCTAAAGTGGGCCCTGCATTTTGTGCACTTCCCAGGTCTAAGCCACTCAGGTTCTCGGGCACTCCGCAAGGGCACAGACTCGGCTGGGCATGAGTTTAGTGCCCTTCCCAGGTCCGCGCAGCTCAGGCAACACCAGGTGCTTGGCGTGCACACTGTCCCAGTTGGGCATACATCGTAATCACCTCCCCGGTCCTGGCTGCTCGGTGTCCCAGGTGCACCAGGGGAGTACCATCTCAGGTGGCTGTGTGTCTCCTCTGGGGAGCCCATCTCAGGCTGCGACCCTCCTGGCAGATGTCTACCATCCAGGATCCCAGGAGGATGTGGTTCGCATTCAGGACTGGTCCTTACCCTAAGCACTGATTATGCAGCCCACACCTCCCTGTCCAGCTCCCGACTGCTGGTGGCAGATGCGAACAACTAGGCTACTTCTCCGCTGGCAGCTATGTATTTTGTGGGTGTTTTTTTCTTTTCCTCTCCCAGTTATGTTGCACTCTGAGAATCCCCACAAACCCGCCTGTGAGAGGGTTTCCTACTGTTAGGAAACTTCTCCTTCATGACTCCCTCCCCAGGGCAGGTCTCCATCCCTAACTCTTTTCTCTCTCTTTTTGTCTTTTATATTTTGTCCTACCTCCTTTCGAAGAGAATGGGGTACCTTTCTGGGTGCCTGGTGTCCTCCGCCAGCATTCAGAAGTTGTTTTGTGGAAGTTACTCAGCATTCAAATGATCTTTTGATGAATTTGTGGGGGAGAAAGTGGTCTCCCCGTCCTATTCCTTGGCCATCTTGGGACCGCCCCCAGGGGCTCTTCTTGACCCAAGGATTGAAACCGTGGGTCTCTTGCATTGGCAGCTGGATTCTTTACCACTGTGCCACCTGGGAAGTCCATGAAGGGCTCTAAAATATGCCAAATCTCTCTTAGTTGCAAGACTCAGAAAACCAACTTGAACCTGCTTAGGCAATTAACCATTGGAACTCAGTTACAGATTCAGAGATAAGCACATTAATCATCTAAAGGTGGGGACTGTACAGCGGTAAATCCCAAGCTCAGGACTTCTGAGCTGGGGAGTGATGGGTGACTGTGTGGTTGAAGAGACAATGCCTTGGTGTGTGAAGAAGAAACCTACTGTCCTGGTTCATTTCTGATCCTAATTATCAGTGTGACCTTTGGGAAGCCTCTTCAATTTCTTTCTTGTGGACAAGCCAAGAATTTTGGGCCAGACCAACTTTGCCCATTATCCAACAAGTCACTTCCTCAGAAATAATTTAAGTTTATGCTACTAAAGTAGGCATGAAAAATGGCTTAACTTTAAAATGACAATCTCTTAACTTTAAAATGACTAGTCTCACCATCAAATGACCTGATTTAAAAAAAAACTTAGTGATATCAAATACTGTTCATGTTAAATATACACATACACACAAACACAATTGTGATATTTTCAAATAAATCCTAAACTAAAAGTTTAATATTAAAACAATTCATCTTTGATTCTGAAGCTCACTCAGTTCAGTTCAGTTCAGTCACTCAGTCATGTCCGATTCTTTGCGACCCCATGAATCACAGCATGCCAGGCCTCCCTGTCCATCACCAACTTCTAGAGATTATTCAAACTCATTTCCATCAAGTCAGTGATGCCATCCAGCCATCTCATCCTCTGTCATCCCCTTCTCCTCCTGCCCCCAATCCCTCCCAGCATCAGGGTCTTTTCCAATGAGTCAGCTGTTCGCATGAGGTGGCCAAAGTATTGGAGTTTCAGCTTCAGCATCAGTCCTTCCAATGAACACCCAGAACTGATCTCCTTTACGATGGACTGGTTGGATCTCCTTGCAGTCCAAGGGACTCTTCTCCAACACCAAGAGTCTTCTCCAACACCACAGTTCAAAAGCATCAATTTTTTGGTGCTCAGCTTTCTTCACAGTCCAGCTCTCATATCCATACATGACCACTAGAAAAACCATAGCCTTGCCTAGACAGACCTTTGTTGGCAAAGTAATGTCTCTGCTTTTTAATATGCTATCTAGGTTGGTCATAATTTTCCTTCCAAGGAGTAAGCATCTTTTAATTTAAGCTCACTCAGAACCATCCAAATTCAATACAGAATGTAACTTCCCCCGTGTATCAGATTTAAGACCTGAAGTTTTGATGAATTGCCTACAAAGTTGAACCCGCCTCTCTCAGAAACTGAAACATGTCTGAAGAGTAAGCAAACACAAACTTAAAAACTTGAGGAAAAAAAATTGCAGTTTTAAATGAGAAATAAATTGTATCTTTGCAATCCAGTGCTTGATGTTAATAGCCTGTAGCAAGGTTCAGACACAAAACATCAAACATAATGGAGCATACACTTCCTCACTCCCCCTTCCCGGAGTAGTGCTTCTGACCACCACAGTTCCCTTCTCTGCAGGGGACCAGAAAGGGCTTCTGCCAGCAGACAGACCACAATGAAGTCCTTGATGGTGTCCCCAGTTGAGGCCTCGGTTTTTACCAGACCAGTATTGTGTTGTGAAGCAATCTGTTGTGCTGTGACACTTTAGTGACAAATCAGCTCATAATGTGGAGCTGGTAATGAAAGGCGAGAGCATGGGAATGATAATTTAAATTCAGAGATTGCTATTTCCAGCCTTTTTCATTGAAATTATAATAAGAAGAGAAAATGAGAAAAGTTGTAGAGGAACAAAAAGTTGTAGAGGAATTAGCACTGGGAACTTGAAAGACAAGACAATAGAAAAGGACCTTTATGGTCACATCCCCTATTAGGTGCCCTTCACAAAACTTTAACCTATCCAGGCTCTTAGAGCAGTTACGGTTTGCAATAGAGAATAACAGGCAACATCTACAGTGGAAAGCAGTGACAGTGTTGGTCACTCAGTCATGTGTGACTCTTTGCAACTCCATGGACTAAAGCCGGTCAGGGTCCTCTGTCCCTGGAATTCTCCAGGCAAGAATACCGGAGTGGATAATCATTTCCCTCTCCAGGGGATCTTCCCAACCCAGGAATTGAATCCGGGTCTCCTGCATTGCAGGCGGATTCTTTACCAGCTGAGCCACCACAATAAAATTTTTTTTTAAAAGCAAGCATTCTTAAAGCAAATATAAAAACCCAGGGAAAAAGCACATCAGAGACAATTTTAGGACAGATGAAGGAGCATCAAATTTGAAGTCATTAGGAGCATAGATTCTGCCCATTTCCATACACTTTTATTTTCTGGGACATGTTATTTACATTCTCTAAGCTTATTTCTCAAAGTTCATCTATAAATTGGAGCTGATATTAGCACCTATCTTATAAGTTTGTTCTTAAGGTATTTCATAGAAAGTGCATAAGTAGCTCTGTGCAAAGCACATATTGCAATGTGTTTAATAAACATTATTGATGTTTTTATTATTTCTGTATGATCAGCCATTGTAGCACAAATTCCTGTTTCTGTCTCCAATATCCATTATCCTATTCTTATTTTTAAATGAGCCCCACTTTTGTGTAGGTGTTTATTCCTCAGAGATTATGACCCTCTCCCCAGCTCAGGCTAACTCTTAAGAAGCCCAGGACAACCCCAGCTTTCGGACTCCCCTGCCAGTGATTGTGTCAGACAAAAGCAAGGAGGCACGGAGCCAATGAGACATGAGGAAAGTCTGTCAAGGGGGGGTTTCTGGGAAAGGTTTCGTCATTCTTTTAAAAGGGATACCTGGGACAAAATGACCTTTCATATGTTGGATGCTGCATCTAGATGTAAAGTCTGGAATGATGCAGGCATCCTGTGACCCTGAGGGGAGTGACTTCCAAGGACAAAGCCAACAAGCCAAGGATGTCAGGAGCAGAGAGATGGGAGGAACTTATGTTCCTGATGAAGCCATGGAACCACTGAATTAGCTAACAATGGAAGAACCACCTTGTCCTGGGATTTTTTGTTAAGATCAAAAGTAAATTTCCTTATTGCTGAAGCCATTTGGGCCAGTCTTTTCCTTATAGATGAAAGTCTCCTAACTGATAGAACCAAAGCACAAAAACAAACCAGGAAAGAAAGCGTCTTATGACCTCAGTGTTGCCTCTAAAGTCGACAAAGTTATCTATTCCCTGAGAATGTTAATTATTCTCCCATTTTCGTCTCTCCAGTTACCCATGAGGGACACCACAAAAGAACCATGAGAAGTCTAACTCCCAGCATCTTAGGAAAGCTTCCCCCATGAAAGACTATGGTTCCCACCTGCACTCTGTCCTCTATGTGGGCAGCCTCACTTCCCTCCTGACTCCTAACCAGCTCTGGAAAGCAATGAGCATGCAGAGAGAAACACACCAACTTCAAGGTGAAATAGGTGGCAAGGAGAAGGCTGGAGGAGAAGAGCCTGTGGGCATGGAAGAGGAGGCACGGGGACATGTGTTGAGTGATGATATCCAAGGGCCTCCTCACCTGCTAACGGGATTATGTGGGGGTCCTTTCTCAAATCTCAAGTAGAGCAAAGACCTAGAACCATTCAGAGCTCATGAACATCAGCTTACCTCCCCATATAGGAAAGATTCTGCAAAGAAATGCATCCCAGTGCAATGCAATGCTGGCAGGAAAACTAAGTCTACATGTCTGTGTGGAAGTTCTTTGGCCTTTTTTTTCCATTTGAATTCACATTACCTAGCTGTCTGCCTGAAACATCCAACCACAGAAGTTTTTATCTATGGTTTTTTTTTTTTTTTTTTTTTTTTTTTTTTTTTTATTTTTCTAAATTCTCCTACAGGTTTTTCCTACAGGTTAAATTCTCATCTCAGAGTAATTTCCACAATTTCTTTCTGGCTTTGAGGTGGTATTCCAATGATTGTTATGGCTTATGTCAGCTTGACTTTTTCATGCTCCATAAATCAATTTCATTGTCAGATATGGTAAAGGTTTCTCCCCACCTCAGCTTACTCTACAGACCTCAGCTCCCACACCCCAGATATTAGCTTTTGTGTAATTTAAATAAGAATGGGCCTCTTATCCCCTCTTTCTTTCTCTGACTTAAGGCCAATTGTCTAGTTATCTTAATAAAGAAATAAAAAAGGAAAATAAAAAAACCAACCAAAGAAAGAAAGGTAAGAAAACCCTATAAACCTTTTGCAAATATCTAATTCAAAAGCACTGAAGGGTAATGCAGAATTTTAAATTTCTTTTATTTTCCTTCTTTAAAAAATATAACACATAAGATGTTTTCCCTGTCATAAACTAAGGCAATTTGGAAGTATATTGACTAAAAAGTGAGAGTTCTTTGCTACCAAGATCCACCAAGATAACAACTATGAGTTGAATATAGATCTTTTCAGAAATTTCTATTTACATTTATGCAGATAAAAGTTAGGTGGGAATTGCTTAGCAGAGGGAGAAATTGGAGGGTAATCATAGGAGTATTCCTTGTATGGAAGGGGTACAACATCAAGTTTAGTTAGTATTGGTAAAGTTAACAAGACCTTTAAAGAGACTGAGTTACAACAAGAGGAGAACTCAACCAAGGAAAGATTTTCACTTTTTAAATTACAAATGTTAAGACAGGCAAAAGACAGGAAGGGATTTGACCAAATAGAACGAAAACTCTTGGTAAAAGTGGCAATGTGCATAATGCATTCTCCATGCTTAAGCTCGTGGTAATTGCATTCTAGTGAGATAAATCACAGACAAATGTATGAATAGTGATTAGAAGAGAGGGGTGTTACAGATTCCAAGTAGGTTTACTGTGATGGGTGGTCCAGAGAGGCGTTAGGAAGGGGTTAGTGCCTTACAAAAAAAAAAATGTCAAGAGAAAAAAGGACACAACGACTCCAACAGGGCTACATCACAGGTCTGCCTGCTCTAAGAGCTTCTGGGCACCACTGACTTGTCATCTTGGGGCTTCCCAGGTGGCGCTAGTGGTAAAGAACCCACATGCCAATGAAGGATGCATAAAGAGAGGCAGGTTTAATCTCTGGGTCAGGAAGATCTCCTGGAGAAGGAAGTGGCAACCCACTCCAGTATTCTTGCCTGGAGAATCCCCATGGACAGAGGAGCCTGCAGGTACAGTCCATGTGGCTGCAAAGAGTCGCACATGACTGAAGTGACTTAACACACACATGACTTGTCATATCGGACCTCTGTTCCCCAACCTGGGTCAGAGATGGCATGAAGTCAAACACGAAGTTTTTGCACAAGGGCCAGCCTATCTGATATCTTTGTTTCATAAAAACCTGGATGTTAGGAAATCAGGATTTGGGGGAAAGCAGTGGTTCAGTTCCCTGGTGGCACAGGTAATAGTTCAGAGCACTATTGTGGTGTCTGTGTGTGTGATGACTCCCTTATTTCCTTCCATTGTTTTCTTGGGGGAAAACCATTTATAGGGTTTGACTCATTGGAGAGAGTACAAATTTTTTGTTCTTTTACCCTTTTTTCTTCATTTGGTTTGCAACCATAGATACAACATCTGAGTACAAGAAGCTGTCTTATATTGTTAAATGGCCTTAAAGATAGAAGTCACATGGCAGGTGCATCCTACTGAGAGGCAGGAGGAGCCCAGGTTCATGAGAGTTTTGGAGCACCCCTGTTTTGGACTCTCTACCCTGTTTATCATTCTGCTGTTATTTGGTGCATTTCTTAAATGTTAATTCGCCGTCATTTCAGGTTTTCTGTTTATATGAAGTCAAACTTAATCTTCATATACCACATGCTGTCTTCTTTTTGCTTCTTTTTCTTTCTTGTGTTTTGTCAGATTAAAGTTTGTTGTTGATTGTGGAGTGTTTTATTTTTTCTCTAATTATTTTGAAGTTCTACACCCTACGCCTATCCTTAAGTGTTTACCATTAATATTTTGAAGCACATGTTGAAGCTATGTTTTTATCTTGCTGTTCAGAATTAATGTCTTGTCTTTACCCTTTCATTGAACAGGTCAAAAACCTAATCATTTACTGATGTCCCTCCTCACTTAGTTATCCATGTTGACATCTTTTATCACTTTTAATTCTTTTTTGTTTTAAGTCACTTCATTAAGGTATTATTGACATATAAAAAGTTTTACCTATTTAATGTATACAACTTGATGCCTCTGGGGATGAGTATATACTCATAAGTTCTTGAGTACTATTAAGTACCAAGACTCTCCCAGTATTATTGTAAAGTTTTATTTTTAAACCTATGTATTATGATATTTTAAGGGATATATAACATATATGGTAAACACATATGTTCATTCTATCTTCTAGATTTAACCTATGCATAATCACATAAAATATTCTATAATGCCATAATAAGATATTCATTAAAAACACACCAAGGAAGTAGGGGATAGTGTTAACAACACATCTCAATTTTTAAAATTTGCTCCCAATTTTTTCTTACCTAACTTAACAGCATTTCTTCAGCATTTGTGCAAATCTATCTGTTCTCTCTTCTATCACTCATTGTACCCTCTGCTCTTTCTTTCTCTCTGAAAGCCTTTCCCCTTGATGCTCCCTCCATCAGCTCCCTTCTGATCTTTCCTTCACATCTACATTCCTTTACCAACTTCCCACCTTTATATCTACTGGTAAACCTATTCACTACCACAAGAGCTCCATGACCAAGAGATATACATACTGGGTTCTTCCACTTCAGAAAACATGAGAAGGGTTATTGTAATCACCTAACATTTAACATATATGTTAAAGTCACACATACTATAAACACAATAAATAAGGGAAACTGCTGCTTAAAAGATGGACTTCCCAGGTGGTGCTAGTGGTGAAGAACCCGACTGCCAAGGCAGGAGACATAAGAGATGCCGGTTTGATCCCTGGATCTGGAAGATCCCCTAGAAAAGGGATGACACCCCACTCCACCATTCCTGTCTGGAGAATCCCATGGACAGAGGAGCCTGGCAGGCTACAGTCCATAGCGTCACAAAGAGTCAGACATGACTGATGCAACTTAGCACGCATGCATGCTGCTTAACAGAATGCTGTATCAATTCCCATGTAAAATGAAGAATTAAATCTTAATTTTTCTGTTCTAAATCTCTATTTCATGATTTGTGTTTCCTTAATGTATACCTATACCTACTTTCTTCAATTTAAGTCTGAATTTTGCAATAAGGAGTTCATGATCTGAGCCACAGTCAGCTCCCGGTCTTGCTTTTGCTGATTGTATAGAGCTTCCCCATCTTTGGTTGCAAAGACTATAATCAGTCTGATTTCTGTATTGACCATCTACTGATGTCCATGTGTAGAGTTTTCTCTTGTGTTGTTGGAAGAGGGTGTTTGTTATGACCAATATGTTCTCTTGGCAAAACTCTGTTATCCTTTGCCCTGCTTCATTTTGTACTCCAAGGCCAAATTTGCCTGTTACTCCAGGTATCTCTTGACTTCCTAATTTTGCATTCCAGTCCCCTATGATGAAAAGGACAACTTTTGGGGGTGTTAATTCTAAAAGGTCTTGTAGGTCTTCATAGAACCATTTAACTTCAGCTTCTTCAGTATTGCTAGTTGGGGCATAGGCTTGGATTACTGTGGTATTGAATGGTTTGCCTTGGAAATGAATAGAGATCATTGTGTCTTTTTTGAGATTGCACCCAAGTACTGCATTTCAGACTCTGTTGTTGACTATGAGGGCTACTTCATTTCCTCTAAGGGATTCTTGACCACAGTAGTAGATATAATGGTCATCTGAGTCAAACTTGCCCATTCCAGTGTATTTTAGTTCACTGATTCCTAAAATGTCAAAGTTCACCCTTGCCAGCTCCTGTTTGAACACTTCCAATTTATCCTGATTCATGGACCTAACATTCCAGGTTCATATGCAGTATTGCTCTTTACAGCGTTGGACTTTACTTTCATCACCAGTCACATCCACCACTGGGCATTGTTCTTTACAGCGTTGGACCTTACTTTCATCACCAGTCACATCCACAGCTGGGCATTGTTTTTGCTTTGGCTCTGTCTCTTCATTCATTCTGGAGTTATTTCTCCACTTGTCTCCAGTAACATATTGGGCATCTACTGACCTGGGGAGTTCATCTTTAAGCGTCATATCTTTTTGCCTTTTCATACTGCTCATAGAGTTCTCCAGGCAAGAATACTGAAGTGGCTTGCCATTCCCTTCTCCAGTGAGCCATAGTTTGTCAAAACTCTCCACCACGACCAGTCCATCTTGGGTTGGCCCTACATGATATGGCTCATAGTTTCAATGAGTTAGACAAGGCTGTGGCCCATGTGATCAGTTTAATTAGTTTTCTATGATTGCAGTTTTCATTCTGTCTGCCCTCTGACAAATAAGGAGAAGAGGCTTATGGAAGCTTCCTGATGGGAGAGAGCTGACTGTGGGAGAAACTGGGTCTTGTTCTGATGGGTGGGGCCATGCTCAGTAAATCTTTAACCCAATTTTCTGTTGATGGGTGGGGCTGTGTTCCCTCCCTGTTGTTTGACCTGACACCAAATTATGGTGGAGGTAATGAAGATAACGGCAACCTCCTTCAAAAGGTCCCATGCAGGCACTGCCGCACTCAATACCCCTGACCCTGCAGCAGGCCACCGCCAACCCACGCCTCCAGTGGAGACTCCTGGACACTCACAGGAAAGTCTGGGTCACTTTCTTGTGGGGTCACTGCTCCTTTCTCCTGGGTCCTGGTGCACACAAGATTTTGTTTGTGCCCTCCAAGAGTCTGTTTCCCCAGTCCTGTGTAAGTTCTGGTGGGGTTAA